TCCCGCGCCGGCCTGCTGCGACTTAGCCCGAGGGTGATTGTGGAAGTTGCACGCTATGCAAGTGCTGGTTGGCAATTCTGAGGAGTACCTGGGTCCCGTGAACCTTTGGTCTGTCGCGGAACCCCCAAAAAGCAGAGGGAGAGTTCTGGGGACTGTTCCCTTTGCTCCCGTCTCCCTCCTGGGTGCCATGGGAAGCTGCTCTGGCCTCCAGTGCAGACTTGGACCTGTGGAGAGGAAAGGCTTGCTTTAAGATTAGCTGAAACCTGAGACAGTTCCTGGCCCACTTAGTGCCCTCCCGGGTAGCTGTTGAAGACACTGACTCTGCAGTTTGACACTCACTCAGGCTCTGGCTGACCTGGTCTTGCCCATCCTTGCCAGATTTGGAGGATGACAGAGATTGGTGTCAGGGAGTGCTGCAGGCGGGGAGGAGGCAAGTGAACTTCACCAGCACCACTGGCCAGTGGATCATGCAGGCCATATCCTGGACGGCTTGAGAAGCAGGGTGGAGTGGAATGGGTGATGGCAATGTTTCGGGAGCCTCTCCGCCACCTATTCCTCAGGTTTCTGGGTTTTCTTTTGTCTTGGCAGTTTGGTAACTCTTATTCGACATCCATCTGAATTAATGAATGTTCCTCTTCACCAGCAACAAAACAAATGTACGACCTTAGTGAAAAATAAAACTGCTGCTGCCACTACTGCTCTGCAGTTCACCTACCCGCTGTTTACAAGTGCCTGCTCCACTGGTGGGAACGCCAGCCTTGCACAGACACAGGTAAAGCTTTTTCGTTTATGTTAAATGCAAAGCTTGTAATTTAGTGCAATATTGTCCCAGGAATTTTTTTTAATGGAACTGGTGACCTTTTTAAAGTTAAAATATTTATATTGTTAGGCATTCTTAAGAAACCCAGTGAAAGGGCTGAAGAGATGGTTCAGTGGTTAAGAATGCATACTGTTCTTGATTTGGATCCTAGGTTGGTTCCCATCTCACAACTGCCTGTTAACTCCAGCTTTAGGAGGGGATCCTTCTGGCATCCGTAACACCTATAGTCATGAGCACAAACCCACACATACACGGTTAAAATCTTTTTTTTTTTTTTTTTTTTTTTTAAAGGGAAGTTTTTCAGAAGGTTTGAGCATAATTCTGTCAGTGCAGTTTACTTGTGCTGTAGAGAGCAGACACAGCTACATATTGATACAATTCCTGTTACTTAACTTTTTCCAGAGTTCTAGTAACTCATGTTCTATACTGGAAGCTGCCAAGCACCAGGATATTGGACTGCCTAGAGCATTTTCTTTCTGTTACCAGCAAGAGATTGAGTCCACCAAACAGACAGGAGGTAGTAGAAACAAAGCCTTGCCGGAGCAGGTTTGGATTAAGGTGGGAGGTAAGTGATAAATGAGCAGGTAGTGGCTGTGTGTGCTCTTGACAAGCTGTAGCTGCAGAGTATTTAGGCTCTGGCGGGTGGGGACAGGAGAGGACCTTTATATACACATGTGTAAGAAGTCTTAGGGGTTTCAGCAATCTCTTCTTTGAACTGTCTTCTGAGTTTTGAATGTCACAGTTGACTCAGATTTGTACACTTTGAAGCTTTTTCTTAACAGTAAAATGACAACAGCCTCACAAACATGTTCAGGTGCCGTAGCCACTGAAAGTATTTTGTAGTTTATTTTATTTCATACTTTGGGGGTGATGATGGAGTCTGAAATGAACAGAAAGCTCCAAAGAGATAGTGTCGTGGCAATGGCTGGGCTTGGCAGAGGCCACTGGATGCTCAGAAGGTCTGGGGTGTAAAGAAGCCACCACCAGCACACTGTTTCTTGATAGTCCCTTCAGCACCTCCCTCCTGGGAAAAGGTTATCTTGCAAGAGACAGTAATTACTACTCCTGAAGCTTTCGGAGCTGCTGAGGCAGAATGAGATGGAAACTGCTGCTTCCTGTCAGCCCTCAGTTTTTAAAAATTAATTAATTAGTTAATTTTTTACATTCCAATCCCAGTTCCCCTCCGTCTTCTCCTCCCATTCTTCCCTCCTCCTTCCCCCCATCCCGCCTCCCATCCACTCAGAGAGAGTAAAGCCTCCCCTAGCCTGTCAACTCATTCTGTCCCATCACCTCATTGAGGCAAGACCAAGCCCCCTCCCCCCATGTCTCGGTTGAACAAGGTATCTCTCCACAGAGAATGGGCTCCACAAAGTCAGTTTATGCATTATACTTAGATCTTGGTTCCACTTCCAGTGGCTTCATATACTGCCTAAGCCACACCATTGTCACCTGTATTCAGGGGTCCTAGTTCAGTCCTATGCTAGTTCCCCAGCTGACAGTACAGAGTCAGTGATCTCTCACTAGCTCGGGTCAGCTGATGCTGTGGGTTTCCCCATCGTGGTCTTGACTCCTTTGTTCATATTATCACTCCTCCCTCACTTCGATTGTACCCTGGGAGGTCTGCCCCATGGCTAGTTATAGATCTCCACGTCTGCTTCCATTTATTTCTGGGGTTGTGGATTGTAGGCTGGTTGGTTATACTTTGCTATGTCTGATACTCGTATGTATGAGTGAGTACATACTAGGTTTGTCTTTCTGGATCTGGATTGCCTCACTCAGGGTGTTTTTTTCTAGTTCTGTTCATTTGCCTGCAGATTTTAGGATGTCAGTGTTTCTTACTGTTGAATAGTACCCCATTGTGTAAATGTATAATATTTTCCTTATCTATTCTTTGGTTCAGGGACATCTAGGTTGTTAGGAATAATGCTGCTATGAACATAGTTGAGCGAATGTCCTTGTGGTGTGGCTGTGCCTCCTTTGGGTACATGTCCAAAAGTGGTATTGTAGGGTCTTGAGGTAGACTGATTCCTAGTTTTCTGAGAAACTGCCACACTGATTTCCACAGCAGCTGTACATGTTGCAGTCCCACCAGCAATAGAGGAATGAGTGTCCCTTTTATTTCACATCCTCTCCTTTATAAGCTGTCATTCTTGTTTTTTATCTTAGCCATTCTGATTGGTATGAGGTGGCATCTCAGTTGTTTTGATTTGCATTTCTCTGATGACTAAGGATGTTGAGCATTTCCTTGTATCTTTTGACCATTTGAGATTCTTCTGTTGAGAATTCTCTGTTTAGGTATTTTTTGATTGGATTATTTGGTAGTTTGGTGTCTAGTTTCTTGAGTTCTTTGTATATTTTGGAAATCAGCCCTCTGTCACATGTGGGGTTGGTAAAGATATTTTCCCATTCTGTAGGCTGCTGTTTTGTTTTGTTGACTGTGTCCTTTGCTTTACAGAAGCTTCTCAGTTTCAGGAGGTCCCATTTATTAATGGTTGCTCTCTGTGCCTGTGATATTGGTGTTATATTTAGGAAGTGGTCTCCTGTACCAATGTGTTCAGGGGGGTATTTCCCATTTTCTCTTCTATCATGTTCACTGTCGTTGGATTTATGTTGAGGTCTTTGGTCCACTTGGACTTGGGTTTTGTGTACGGCGATAGATAGGGATCTATTTGCATTCTTCTACATGTCGACATCCAGTTATACCAACACCATTTGTTGAAGATACTTTATTTTTTCTATTTTATATTTTTAGCTTCTTTGTCAAAAATCAGGTGTTCATAGGTGTGTGGGTTTACATCAGGGTCTTCGATTCTATTCCATTGGTTCACCTGTCTGTTTTTGTGCCAATACCAAGCTGTTTTCATTACTGTAGCTTGATGGAGGAAGTCTTTATATATGTTTCTCTTATTGGTTGATGAATAAAACACTGGCCAGTGAGGCAGGAAAGTAGGCGTGACTAGGATGAGGAGAGTTCTGGGAAAGGTAGGCAGAGAGGCCCGCCAGACAGAGTCGCCATGCTGCTAAAAGAGGAACAACACGCAGGGGCATCACCAGGTAAGCCACAGCCTCGTGGCAATACACAGATTGATAGAAATGGTTTAATAATTAAGACAGAGCTAGCCAATAAGAAGCCCTAGTCATTGGCCAACAGTTTAATAACTAATATAGCATCTGAGTGTTTATTTGGGGCTGACAAGGGCGGCAGGACCCAAGCAGGACAAAGAAACGGCCCACAACAGTGGCTCTTTAATAGAGCTTGAAGTCAGGGATGGTGATGCTTCCAGATGTTCCTTTATTGTACAGGATTACTTTGGCTATCTTGGGTTTTTGTTTTTCCATATGAAATTTAGTATTGCTCTTTTGAGGTCTGTGAAGAATGGTGCTGGGATTTTGATAGGTAATGCATTGGATCTGTAGCTTGCTTTTGGTAGGATGGCCATTTTACTGCCTATCCCTGACCATGGGAGATACTTCCATCTTCTTATATCCTCTTCAGTTTTGTTCTTCAAAGACTGAAGTTTTTATCATACATGTCTTTCACTTGTTTGGTTAGAGTTGCCCCAAGATATTTTATATTGTTTGTGGCTATTGTGAAAGATGATATTTCCCTGAATTCTTTGTCATCTGTATATAGGAGGGCTACTGATTTTTTTTTTTTTTTTTTGCATTAATCTTGTATCCTGTTATATTGCTGAAGGTGTTTATCAGCTGTAAAAGTTCCCTGGAAGAACTTCTGGGGTCACTTATGTGTACAATCATATCATCTGCAGATAGCAAAAGTTTGACTTCTTCCTTTCCAATTTATATCCCCTTGATCTTTGTTGTCTTATTGCTCTAGCTAGAACGTCAAATACTGTATTAAATAGATATGGAAAGAGTGGACAACCTTGTTTTGTTCCTGATGTTAGTAGAATTATTTTTGAGTTTCTCTCTGTTTAGTTTGATGTTGGCTCTTGGCTTCCTGTATATTGCCTTTATTATGTTTAAGAATGTTCCTTGTAGCTAGGTGTTGGTGGCGCACAACTTTAATCCCAGCACTTGGGAGGCAGAGGCAGGTGGATCTCTGTGAGTTCAAGGCCAGCCCGGGCTGCAGAGCAAGTCCCAGGACAGATTCCAAAATAATACAGAAAAACCCTGTCTTGAGGGGCGGGGGGGGGGGAGGTTTCTTGTATCCCTGATCTCTCCAAGACCTTTATCTTATCATAAAGGGATGTTGGATTGTCAAACTTTTTCAGCATCTAATGAGATAATCATGTGGTTTTTTCTTTTGGTTTGTTTATATGATGGATTATTTTCAGATGTTAAACCATCCCTGCATCTGTGGAATGAAGCCTAGTTGATTATGGTGGATACCATACATATTTCTGATGTATTCTTGGATTCAATTTGCTGGTATTTTTACGTCGGTGTTCATGAGGGAAATTGGTCTGTAATTCTCTTCCTTAATTGTCTTTGTGTGGTTTGGGTATCGGTAATTGCAGTCTCATAAAAAGAGATTGACAGTGTTTCTTCTGTTTGTATTGTGTGGAACAATTTGAGTATTGGTATTATTAGCTCTTTGAAATTCTGGTAGAATTCTGGTCCTGGGCTTTTTTTGGTTGGGAGCCTTTTGATAACTGTTTCTATTTCCTTAGGGGTTATAAATCTATTTAATTTGTTTATCTGGTTCTTGATTTAATTTTGGTATGTGGTACTTATCTAGAAAATTGTCCATCTCCTTAAAGTTTTCCAATTTTGTGGAGTACAGGTTTTTGAAGTATGACCTGATTCTCTGGATTTCCTCAGTGTCTGTTGTTATGTCCCCCTTTTTGTTTCTGATTTTGTTAATTTGGATGTTCTCTCTCTGCCTTTTGGTTAGTTTGAATAAAGGTTTGTCTATCTTGCTGACTTTTCCAAATAACCATTTGTCTCAATTGATTTTGGTTTTTCGAGGCAGGGTTTCTCTGTGGCTTTGGAGGCGATTTTTTTTTTTTTTTTTTTTTTGGTATTGTTTTCTTTGTTTCTATTTTATTGAGTTCAGCCCCTCATAATTATTTTCAGCCATCTACTACTCCTGGGTCAGTTCGCTTCTTTCAGTTCTAGAGCTTTCAGTTGTCACTAATGCGGGAATTCTCCAGCTTCTTTCTGTGGGCATTCAGTGCTGTGAACTTTTCCTCTTAGCACTGCATTCATTGTGTCCTATAAGTTTGGGTATGTTGTATGGTCATTTTTTTTTTTTTTAATTTTAGGAAGTCTTTAATTTCTTTATTTCTTCCTTGACCCAATGCTGATTCAGTTGAGCATTGTTCAATTTCCATATGTTTGTGGGCTTTCTGAAATTTAGTGTTGCTGTTGAATTCTAACTTTAAGCTGTGGTGATCTGATAAGGGTACAGGGGTTTATTCCAGTTTTTTTTTTTTTTTTTTTTTTTTTTTTTTTTGTATCTGTTGAGGTTTGCTTTGTTACTAAGTATATGGTTGGTTTTTCAGAAGGCTCCATGAGGTGCTGAAAACAAAGTATATTCTTTTTGTTTGGAAGGAACAAAAATGTTAAGTCCATTTGAGTCATAACATCTGTTAGTTCCCTTATTTCTCTGTTTTGTTTTGAGATGGTTTCTCTGTAGCTTTGGAAGCTGTCCTGGAACTCCATCTGGGGACAGGGGGGGCCTCCAACTCACAGAGACTGGCCTGCCTCTGCCTCCCGAGTGCTGGGATTAAAGGTGTGCGCCACCAATGCCTGGCTTCCTTATTTCTCTGTTAAGCTTTTGTCTGGCAGACCTGCCCAGTGATAATAATAATAGGGTGTTAGCTGGGTGTTGGTTCGAGGCCACCCTGGTCTCCAGAGCGAGTTCCAGAATGGCCTCGAAGGCAATACAGAGAAACCCTGTCTTCCAAAAGCAAAAAAAAAAAAAAAAAAAAAAAAAAAAAAAAAAAAAAAAAGATGGGGTGTTGAAGTCTCCCACTACTAGTGTGTAGGGCTTGATATGTTGATGTAAAAGCTTTAGTAATGTTTCTTTTACAAATGTGGGAGCCCTTGTACTTGGGGCATAGATGTTCAGAATTAAGATTTCCTCTTGCTGGATAATTCCTATGATGAATATGAAATTCCCTTCTTTATCTTTTTAATTTGTTTTTTAGTTTGAAGTTCATTTTGGTAGATATTAGGGGTAGCTACAACAGCTTGTTTCTTAGGACCATTTGATTGGAAAATCTTTTCCCAACCCTTTACTGTGAGGTAATGTCTGTCTGTGAGGTTGAGGTGTGTTTCTTGTATGCAGCAGAAGAATGGATTCTGTTTTTTGTATCCAGTCTATTAACCTGTGTCTTTTTATAGGTGAATTGAATCTACTTATATTAAGGGACATTAGTAACCAGTGATTGCTAGTTCCTGTTATTTTTGTTTTTGTTGTTGTCGGTGGTGGTGGTGGTGGTGGTGGTGACATTGTGTGTACTTTTCCCTTCTTTGGGCTTTGTTGCTATGAGATCATCTATTGCCTGTGTTTTTGTGAATGCAGTTGACTTCCTAGGGTTGGAGTTTTCCTTTTAATACTTATGCAGGACTGGGTTTGTGGATAGGTATTGTTTAAATATAGTTTTGTCATGGAATATCTTGTTTTTTTCTGTCTACGGTGATTGAAAGTTTTGCTGGGTATATTAGTCTGGGCTGGCTGGCATCTGTGATTTCTTAGTGTCTGTGTAACTTCTGTCCAGGACCTTCTGGCTTTCATTGTTACTACTGAGAAGTCGGGTGTTATTCTGATGGGTCTGCCTTTGTATGTTACTTGGCCCTTTTCCTTTGCAGCTCTTAATATTCTCATTCTGTATATTTTGTGTTTTGATTGTTACGTGGCAAGGGGACTTTTTTGGCGGGGGAGCCCAGTCTATCTGGTGTTCTGTAGGCTTCTTGCATCTTCATAGGCATTTCTTTCTTTAGGTTGGGAAACTTTTTTTTTTTTTTTTTTTGGTTTTTCGAGACAGGGTTTCTCTGTGGCTTTGGAGGCTGTCCTGGAACTAGCTCTTGTAGACCAGGCTGGTCTCGAACTCACAGAGATCCACCTGCCTCTGCTTCCTGAGTGCTGGGATTAGA